TCCAATTCCCACTCCCCCCTCCAGGGTCTGCGTTGAATATCCCGCGGGTCGGGACAGAATGGTACAAAGATATGGAGACATTTGAGAACCACTATGCTGCAGGAAGGTGATTAAGACTGAAATTAGTAAGTTAGGCAAGCTCTAGGATTGAAGGGTTCTGGTACCTATGGATTAATGTTAACTGTCTAAGCATCTGTTCTGCCATTGGACAAGACAAGCAGTCCACAAACTTTTGTCTGCAAAGGGCCAGATAGAAATATGTTAGTCTTTACAGGCCACAAATCAGTCTTCTTTGTTTGTTTTGGGTTTTGTTTTGTTTTGGTTTTGCAATCCTTTAAACATGTAAAAACCATCCTTAACTCACAGTCCACACAGGAGCAGGCTGCAGGCAAAACCTGTGGGCTGTAATTTGCCCACTCCTGTAGTAGAACCTAAAACATAGTAGTTGTTCAGTAACTGCCGAAGGAATAAACCTTATAAGAGTGGTTCATAACTATTTTATCCTTATCATTGAAAAAGATTGAAAATAAATGAAGTAGGCATTCAGCTTCAGGTTCTAGAAAGTAGCTCTTTCAAGACTATGTTTGGTTTTAAAACCAAGAGTTGATTTTTGAAGAACCAATAGAATACAGTTGCCAACTCTGATAAAGGGGAAAAAAGGAGAGACAGAGGTACATGTGTGTACATAGATATATGACACAGAAAGGGAGATATGGTTCTAATGCACACATTTACAGCAATTAACTCAAGGTAATGCACACATTTACAGCAATTAACTCAGCAAGGTAACAAATGAGAATACCAATAATCAGAGAAGGAATGGAAAAGATTGTCAGGTATCTGTCACTAAGGCACAAGGCGCAGGCAGCTATCCCAGTTGTAGTCCCTGAAAGCTTTTATGCAGGGGAGGAGTGACTGCTTCAGAGACGGGAGAGGTTGCCTTTTCAGGCAAAGGAGGTGCAGGGGGATTTGGAGGTCTGTAATTCTCAGCCTTGTCTGTGTACCTAAATGTCCCCATTCCAGGTCTCAGAGTTCACTCCTTCCCACCAGTGCCCTTATCATAGCATTATAAACCTGGTGGGGTTGAACATTTAGTTGTCAGTGCAACTCTGCAGTTCTGAGGCTCAGCCTGTAAGTTGTATCTGCCTACAACCACATGATGTGGAGGAGTCCTCCACGGCTCCATGGATGCATCCTGATTCTCCATGTATGTTCATAAGTGTTCTTTGTTTGTATGTATTTATAATATTTAATTTTTTCCCTATGTATGCCCTCGAGGGTTGTAAAAGGATGATAGGTCACTCTACAATTAGGTGAAGCTACAGTTGCCATAGTGACTAAATGCCACTATCATTTAATCTCCCAAATGTCTTATTCGCCATCTGCAACTCATCCCATAGTATCACTTGTGATAATTTGAGAAATTGTGATACTATCACATGTCATGGATTTCCCAACATCCAATCTTGTCCCCAGTCGAGGAAGTTATCCCTGTATTCCTTGAATGTATTATCAATATAATCCTAAAATTGCATTTGAGGTTCTATTTCCTGGGGCTTATTCTGGTGCCAATTACTGTATGAAACGGGGTTCCAACAAGGAACAGGGCACACTCAAATTAGGATAATGTGAGGAAAGTTTAATAAAGGTTCTAGTTAGGAAGATGGGGGCAGGATATTACCATCCCTAGACCTGTAGGGATGAGGAGGGAAAGTAAAATAGTAGAGGAGATAATTGGGTAGATTCTTTTAGTAGTTTTTAAAACATGGCCACAAATTCTTTGACATTCCTCCCATTGAGAATTGGGGTCTGTGCCCCTTCTCGTGAATCTGGGTGGATGTGTGATTCGTTTATAACCAGTAAAATGTATTGAAAGTGGTGCTGTACAACTTAAAAGACTAGATCAGAAAAGGTGATGTAGTCTTCACCTTGTTAGTTGGAACATTCACAGTTGGAGCCCCTAAAATGACATGCAAGAAGTCCAACTACCTTGACACTGACATACTGTGAGGAAGCCCAGGTCTCAAGGAAAGGTCATGTAAAGTTACTTAAGTCGACAACCCCAGATCCTGTCTTAGCTGGCAGTACCAACCACCAGAAATCCAAGTGGAGATACTTCCAGCACCTAGATGTTAAATATTCCCAGCTGAGGCTCCAAACACTGTGGAGCATTGTGGAGCACAGACCGGCCAGCCGCACTGTTCCCTGTCCAAAGTCCTGACCCACAGAATCCGTGAACAAAATAAATGGTTGTTTCTATGACACTAAGTTTTGGAGTGATTTGGTACATAGCAATAGTAACCGGTACAGGTAGAGAAAGCCACTCTGAGGGTAGCAATGACCTTCCGTGGAGAGATACAGCCAACTCTTGCACAAGGGAGGAAGTCAGGGGAATAAATATCTCCTGATCTTATTCTCTCTCTGATCTTTCGCCAGTGCTCTCTGTCGGTGAAACGCAACCAAACGCTAGAGGACAAAGTAGTCTGTTGATGTAATCTATATAGCCCTGCCTCACAGAACAAGAAGCAGGATAGAGAAGCAAGAAAATGGAGCTACAGGAGGCAAACAAAAGTTATCTTGTACAGGGCCATTTGGGGACTTCAAACTTTATTTTGAAGACATCAGAAAGAAACTGAAAGGTTTTGGACAGGAGACTGATAAGATAATTATCTTGACAATGATGTGCAGCTTGTATTGGAGAAGAGACTAGAAATGGGAAGACTAGTTAGGAATGTAACAAAATAGATCAAGTGTGAGGTGATGGTGCCCTGGGCTGTGGTAACAGCAGTATAAATGGAAACAGAAGGAACAGATGTGAGAGGCATTACAAAAGAAAAAAAAATTGACCAGATTTGCAGATCAGTTCATCAGGGGGCAGAAAAATGAGAGTAGAATGGAAAATGATGCTCATATTTTAAGCCTGTTTAATTAAGGGTCTTGTGCTCACCCCTAGAGAATTGATCAGTTCCCAAGGTTTACCCATCCTTTTACGTGGAAGACACAAATCTTCAACTCCATTCATGGTTTTGTCCCCTAAACTGAAATCTGTTGCCTGCTGGACATTTCAGCTATCACCTCAAACCTAGGATATCAATAAGCAAACTCACAATCTTACCAGCCCACTCAGTCCTGAATGACATATTTCTGTCAATAGAGCATCTCTTCATTTCTATCATTTATGAGAGCCTTGGCACTACTACTTCTTTTTCACATGTCCATTATCAGTCCTATTGCCCATAGGTGGAAAATTCTTTTTTGAAGTTTGTAGAAGCTAGAAGGGTTTGTTCCATATTTGAAATCTGTCAAAAGCTCTTTAAGGGATCCATGCATTCACTTGAAAGGACTAATTACATACCATTAAGGTCCCAGTGGAATTTCCTCGATAAGTCTGCCACTTCTTCCCATCAAGACTATACATGATGATAAACTGAGAGATGTAGAGGCTGGAGAACTTCTGACGGGCACCCTGGGTCTTGATGCCATGAACAATCACTGGTGCCAACAGATCCACCTACCAATTAAAACAACACTTTATTTTGACCTGTTTTTAAATGTGTATACTACCCACTAAAATTAGTTATTGGCTTAGGAAGAATCTACATTGCTACAGATGTGCCCATCATTACCTTGGACCTGCAGATTAAGCAGAAACCAGTGTTGATATGTGATGCATGTAAAGCCGTGGGATAAATGGTGGAAATGAGTACGAAAGATGCTTATTCAGTTCCTAGCCTGCTCCCTGGCTAACCAGACCACTTCCAAATCATCGAGCCCCTATTTCCTCAATATACACATCCTTTATGCTGCGCATATAGACCCACATAACCTAGTGCTTTGCCCACACCTCAGCATTAGCTTAAGCAAACACAGTTTTCTTTCCTCATCCTGGACCAACCCCATCCCAACATCACTATCGGTGATAAACAGCCACACCTCCTTCAGGCGTTAGTTCAGGAACTACTTCTGCTTATCCTTTCCTGGCCCACCCAGACAAATCTAGTGCTGTTCTTCTGTTTCCACTTCGCTTTGTATACAACTTCATTATAGTAAATTATTGCACCATATTATACAGGTTGCTTTGTTTGTTTGTCTTCCATAATATACTCAGATCCTTAAGGCAGTGAATCTGTTTGAGTCACCTAACCTCTCTGTGTCTCAATTTATCTGTAAAGAGGAGACAATATTAGTGAAGTGGCAGCACTGTCTTCCCAGATTAGACAGTATTCCCAAATGAAGACATCATGTTTTTTCTCTTATTGTGGCACAAACAACTGAAAGCACCAGGTGCAAAAATCATAATTTTTGTTGAATCGACTTGTACTGTTTCTTCATGTAGACTATGAGAATTCTTTTTTGGACCACTGACTGTCGTACCTTCTAACAGTTTTAATGAAGCCTTGCCAATGGACCTCCATTCTGTAATGGATGAATGCTTGGCAAACTGCCAAGCTTATCTATTTCATCTTCTTGTTGTGCCTCTTCTACGTTATAATCGGCACCTTGGAGCAGTTTGGCAATTATAGGTTTGACAGATTCACCTATGTATCTAGCGAGGTGAGATATTTCAATGTAACTGCAAGACACCTCTCTTTACTAGGAAATAAGCAAGGTCATAATGAGTTTCGTGGTATAAAAGTGCAAATATTGCAGCTGCATATCTCCATGGGGTCTGCCACGTGCCGACTGCCGATTGCCCAGCCTTGGTCACCTGGTGCTTCTCCAGCCAGCTCAGTGCTGTCATGCCTGGGGACCAGGCCATTGTGCAGTCTTCAGACCTTCTCACTCCATCTCCCCTGTTTTATTTTATTATTATTTGTTAAAAGATGACCGGTAAGGGGATCTTAACCCTTGACTTGGTGTTGTCAGCACCATGCTCTCCCAGTGAGCTAACCGGTCATCCCTATATAGGGATCCGAACCCGTGGCCTTGGTGTGATCAGCACCACACTCTACCGAGTGAGCCACGGGCCGGCCCTCCCACCTCCTCTCTTGTTAGCACCCTACCCTCTCTTAACTCCAATTTTGTTCCTGCTGGCTCCCTGGAACCATTTCATTATTTTGTAAAGTTACCAGATCAAGAAAATCTCTCTCTGAATTTCAGTAGGACAGACGACAAAACTACCTTGAGGACAAAGTGATTTAATACAGGTTGGATGATAATAAAAATTAGGTGGATTTGTAACTGGTTTAATTGCCATAAACAAACAGTGATAGTTAATAGATGGTTATCAACTTAAAGGGAGCAATCTAGAAACAGTATAGTACAATGATTATGAATTAGGGGTCTGGAGCCCAACTATCAGGGTTTGAATTTTGGCTCAGCCACTTATTGACTGTGTGACTTGAAGCACATTATCTAACTTCTCTATGCTTCAATTTTCTTATCTGAAATGAGGATGATAGTAACATCTACCCCATAAGGTTGTGGTAAGGACTTAATAGCGTGATGTGTACTGAGTACATAGTAAGGAAGCCCTGTCTACTTCAGCATTTTTATCATGAATTTGCTAGAGTATTAAAAAGTTTACTAATCAAATCAGTAAATGATGTGAAACTGGGAAGACTGGGAAATACTCTGGGAGACATAAGCTTGGCAAGTTGAAACAATGGGCCAACTCTAATAAGTGGAAACTTAACAGGGTGTATTGCTCAGGGTTCTTTGGCTAGGCACTCAAGACACTCTGTTTAAAGTCTCATCAGATTGTATCCAATTCCTCAAATGGAAATGAGAATGTTATTACCAAAAAAATTAAATAGAACCAGATGCAGGGCATCCAAATAGATAAAAATATTCAGTATACGGGAATACACATAAGGTTGACACCCCAGTTAACAGAGGAGTTGGTCCTGGACAAGAATAAATGATGCAATTGAATGTGATTAAATTTCCTAACCTTGATCCAGGAAAAGGGCTCCTTGGTGCTCCATGCATTGATTGGTCCAGAATAATGAAGTCTGGCCAGCTTTGGGGCCCACTGTCCTTTGCCCGAGAAAGGGAAGAGAGATTAAATTCAGCTGGGTTGGACCTAGACACTTGGGAATAAAATTCCTGTCTTGAGAAAGGTTAATCTTACCTGTGGAGAAGAAAGGTATAAAGGCTTTATAGTATAGCAGTATCGATTACTATCTATGGGTTTTGCTCGTCCTTGTTGTCAATTCTCTTTTCTAAGATGTAATAAATTTATTGATTGTTAGCACCTCAACTAGCTGATACTGGAATTTGTTACCATCACTACCAAACAATATCATTATTTCTTTATTACACAATGTATGTTCATTGTAGAAAAAATAATAAAATGAAAAATAAAAATAAAAATAAGTAAAAATAAAATTAAAAAACATAATACTTCCACCAGGAAGAAAATATTACTATTTTGGTATATAATTCTTAAGCCTATTTTTCAAAGGGAATTTTGAAAATTTTTCTAGAACAGGAGTGGCAAACTTTTTTTGGTAAAGGGCCAGATAGTAAATAATTTAAGCTACGTAGATCATATGGTCTCTGCTGCAACCACGTAACTGCTGCTGTAGCCACAGATGATATGTAAACAAATGGGTGTGGCTGTGTTCCAATGAAAACTTTGTTATGATCACTGAAATTTGAATTTTATAATTTCACATGATATGGTGCATTCTTCTTGTTTTTTTCCTAATCATTTAAGAATGGAAAAAATATTCTTAGCTCACCTGCCATACACAAATACGTGGTGGGCTGGATTTGGCCTGTGTGCAGTAGTTTGTCAATGCTTGTTCTAAAACAATGTTTGAGAACTCTGTATAGATCCTATTCAAATTTTACCATCATTTCCCATAGGAAAGTGTAGGTTCCTGATCCAAGGAAGAGAATGGACTTAAGGGGAGCAACAGTGCAGGTAGGGAGGATATTTAAGGAGGCAGGATCATTACCCAGGTGAGAAATGATGGTGGCCTGAATTAAGATGGTCACAGTGGAAAATGGATAGGAGGAGATGGATTTGAGAGGCACCCGTGGAGTAGAATTAATAGAAGCATGGACATAGATCTGAAACATTCCAACAAAAATAAAAAAGATATAATCAGCCCATGTTCTTAGTGTGAAAATTAATAGTATTTACCATATTGTCCTGAAGCTGTAATCTGAAAATCTTTGATGCGTCCAGAAGCCATTCCCAGGGGAGTCTGACACTCTGCAATCAAACAGGGGGAACACAGGGAATCAAACAGGGAATTTTGTTCTAAAAGTGCACACAATTCAGCTTAAATGTAAATAAATGAAAATGGAAGAACACCAGCAAATGCTAATACTTTTTACTGTTTATTATGTGCCAACTACTGTAATAAATGTATTGTTGTATTATCTCATTTGATTTATCTTAACAGATAGGTGCTAGAACTATTCACATTTTGTAGGTGAGGAAACTAGGGTCCATACATAAGTACACCAGTCGTTCTCTTACTTGTTTAGGGTTAAGTCTTCAAACTCTTCCATGTGATATTTGTAAGTTATCTTTGGTAAATGAATCAAAATTAAGTTCCAAAATTTGCTCTTGGAGATCTCAGAGCTTCATCAAGTTGTGAAAATGAAGAATTTTTTTTTAGTACCAGTTTGTTAAATATTTAGAGCTTCAGATTCAAAGTGTTCAAAGCTTCAAGCATATCTGCCCTCCTCTGAGGACTCTGATGATTTCTACCAGCAATATTCATTTTAAAATTTGATAATGATATAAGCTTATATTTATTTCTTGACAAAGGTAACCATTCCAGGAAGGAGAAAAGCTGCTCACAGTGCTACTCACTCTTGCTGTACACCAGAAAAAGAGTGCTCATCCCAGCATGTAGGTGCTCGCCAATAAGGCATTCTACCCGCCAAATTCCAGCTTTGGATGGGAGCATTTCCACCGTCTCAAAAATACCTGATCAAAACCAAAAGGAACAAAAATTGTTTATTTTCACTAAAAAGTAAGCATGACATACATTGGCTATGTGGAATTTCAAAAGAGATCTACCAAATTCAATTCCACCACTCTCGGATCCCTCAAACCCAAAGTGCATGCTATGTGACCCCTACAGTTGGAGGCCTTGGAGATTGAATTCTGACCAACCTTCCTCCCAGGTAATGAGAGACAGGGCAATGGAATGCTTGGATAGTTGGAGACAGAGGATGTTACAGCATTAGGATTGGCCTGTACTCCCAGGGTTTTTCAGGGCAAAAGGTGTATTTCCCGTTGACCAGATCTGGGCTCCGTGGAAGAGAGAAGACAGGGACTGCCTAGAGGGGTAAACTTAACTCCAGCAGCAAGAAGCTGGAAATGAATGCCGAAGGGCTGAGAAATGAGTCACAAGTGACCACCCAGAATAAAGGTGGAAACAACCAGGTCAAGGGGATTTCATGAGAGAGGGTGCCAGAAGGGAGCCTCTGAAGAGCACCTGAAAGTACCCTGCAAGATAAAGAGTCAGCTTTAAATATCTGCCATGTGCAGACAGTGTGAAGCTAGCTTACAATAATGGTGCTAGTATAAGTAGGTAAGAACTGTCCTATTCCTTTACTTTTAACCTATCCATGCTGGAGTTCAAAATAGCAGCTAGCAAGGGGTTGGGGGAAAACATGATAAGCACAAGGTAGAGAAACAGAGGATTCAACCAGGTCTCCCTTTTCCAATGCAGACTTCCAGCCTAATGCAGTCTCAAGTTGTAGGAGGGGAGATTGAAGTTAAATCAAGTTCAGAATTTTGATTGATATCTTGGAGTGGACATTGTTTCTGACTTCAACTGTACGTGTCATATAAACTGACTGCAGGGCTGTTTATTACTTAAAAGTGAGCACAAAAGTCATGGGGCTTATCAGAATTTTACAAAGAAATGGGAAATTTACCCCGTACTATTAAGCCTGTTTTAAAGGGAAAGTTGATCAACATTGTGAGTAGTGCTTAATCAACATACTGGTTACATACACAAATCAGTCTTTAGATAACTACTGGTGCCATGTGGGATTTGAGGTAGAAAATGAAAAAGAATAAATTCCTTTTTCTTAGGAAAGTGCTATTAATTATCCATTTATTCTGTTCAATTTCCTTTATAGAAATTTTTCTATATCCAAAATTATCTTCTTTTTTTTTTTCCTTTTTGTCTTTTTTCGTGACCGGCAATGGATCGCAACCCTCAGTGTCGCGCACGTACTGGACCGGCAACGGGATCGCAACCCTCGGTGTTGCGCCTGCACCTCGCTCAGCCAGTGAGCTCTGAACCCTCGGTGGGAGCGCCGCCACGTTCCCAAGCGGTGCACTGTAGCAGTGCGCCACCGGGCTGGCCCCTAAAATTATCTTCTTAATTTGCTAATTTATTTATCTCTTTGTAGGCTAAAGTTAAATGAAAAAATAAGTTACCTGAGAGCAGGGAGGTTTTCTGCTTTGTTCACTGATTGTGTCCCCAGTGCCTAGACCACATAAAGTAAGTACTCAACAAGTACAGTATGAAGAAGAAAGAGCACAAACTCGCTCATACCTGGATAGAGGTTGTACACTGCCATTTTATACTCCTCTTTTTTCCGTACAGTGAACACATGTCCACTGAAATGGATAGAATGGATATTTTCATTGTTGCCCATGCTGAGCAGATACCATCTGATCCTTTGGTCCTGAGCCATTACTAAGCCAGGTAATGTGTCCATCACATAGCCATTGATTGCTGGAGAAGGAGAACACAGAGAAGGCTGTCAAAATCTGTTGTAGAAGTTTGATAAATGATTTCAGCAAAGTTGCAGGATACAAAATCAACACACAAAAATCAGTAGCATTGCTATTTTCCAATAGTGAACATGCAGAAAGAGAAATCAAGAAAGCCTGCCCATTTATAATAGTCATGAATGAATGAATGAATAAATAAAATTCTTAGGAATAAATTTAACCAAGGAGGTTCAAGATCTCTACAATAAGAACTGCAAATCATTGTTGAAAGAAATTAAGACACAAAAAAGAGGGAAAGATATTCCATGACCTTGGACTGGAAGAATTAGCATTGTGAAAATGTCCATACACCCAAAGTGATCTGCAGATTCAATGTAAGCCCCATCAAAATACCAATTACATTCTTCGCAGAAATAGAAAAAACAATCCTAACATTAATATGGAACAACGAAAGACTCCAAATAGCCAAAGCAATTCTGAGCAGAAAAGAACAAAACTGGAGGCATCATACTACCTGACTTCAAATTATACTACAAAGCTATAGTAACCAAAACAGCATGTTACTGGCATAAAAACAGACACTCGGAGTATACTAATTATCTGATTTGAACATCACATATTCATACATACATACATAGGAATTGATATTCAATGCTGTACCCCACAGGTATGTATAATCAACTATGTTCCAATAAAAAAAATGTTTCTTTCCCTCCACTCCACCAAAAGTACTGACACCTATGAGGATTCCATCACACATATACTCTCAGTTCATACAATGTTAAAGTCTCTGGCTCAAGTCTCATTTGTCTTACTGCATGCTCCATTTCACAGTGAGTAATATTTGGGTGTGGGATATATTACCATGGAAGCGATAATTCTCTTTAAAAGTGGGGTCCTCCATCTGGATATTACAGGGAGCCCTGCAGTTCCTTTCCAAATTTTCAGTGAAGTACCAGCTCTTGGTCTCATCAAAGATAGTAAAAAACAGAGCAAATTCCTGCACTGTCACTTGTCTCCCATGAGCAGGGTTCAGTGTGTTAGTGTGGCAGATCAGAATGGGTCCAATCAAGCCTGAGTGCACATCTTTTTCCTAGGGAGGAAAGACATCAATCCTATGAGTTTAAGCTCTGTAACCTATGAATCAGAGTGGATTTCTCATCAACTTTTATATGCCATTCCAACCTGTCCCCCATCTTCCCACAATATAATTCATCCTCTTCAGTAGATTTCAGGGTGATATTTCTAAAACACATATATGATGTCACCTCTCCTATTTAAAGCTTCTCATTGCACTTAGGATAAATACCAAAATTCTTAGCAGACAACACAAAGACCATTTCTTTTAAACCGTAAAGTTCCTAGCACAATGGAGTCCTGCTTACCAGATCAACATCAGAAAAATAAGCCCAGGCTTTGCAATCAAACTCATCTTTAGTGGGTGCCATGTGATGCTGCACTTTCCAAAGGTAAGTTTTAGTTTCATTGGGCTTTACAAAGTTTTTTCTAGGTTCTGTTCCTTGTTGCTGATCTTCCTCATAAGAAATAAGGCTAGAATAGAAGGAGTAGGGCCGAGAGGCCTGATTTTTGAAAGTTACCTGCAAAGCAATAATTAATTAGTTAATTAATTAAAAAGCAAGAATCATCCTTAGGATCTTAAAAATGAGAATACAAGATTTTTATAATCAGAAACAAAATAAGCATATAGGATTAATTTTATTGCAATTCCATTGTCCTTAGCTCACCATGATATTGTCTTCAACTTCTGCTCTTATATATGGCCCCAAGAGTCCCAAGTGTTCATTTAGTTCTCCACGGTATAAGGGCTGAGTAAAGGAGCCATCAGTAAATTCCTGGAAAACCACCTTCTTGAACTGAGAGACACTGCCACCCTGAGCCCTGGAGAATAAAGCAGAGGAAAAGCACTATCTTGATTGACCAAGTAGGTAGAAATGCCTCACATCCTTGCCTTCCCTGTATTTGAGATACATTTAGTAGAACTGATGATGGATTGCAAGTATAATGGGGCAGAGAGGAGAGAAAGAGGGATTAAAGATAACTTTCAGGTTTTAGGTTTGGTCAAATGGGTGGATGGTGATGCAATTCACTGAAATGAAGAACCTCAGAGGAGGAGTAGGTTGGGGTATATGGTTTTGGACATATGGAACATCTATGTGAATTAAATCAGCAAATACACAGCATTTGGGAGTTCATAAAAGAGATCTATATAAAGATCACCTAGATTTAGTTAGTATCCAAGTCATGTGAGTGACTTATCAAAGCCAATAGTCAATTTTTTATGCTCTCATTTTGCTAGATATCTAAGATGCGTTTTGCATAGTTAACTACTCCATCCTCCTTGAAATACTCTCTCCAGGCTTCAATAGTATGTAAGTTTCTTGGAAGCAGGGGGTTTTGTCTATTGTGTCACTGCTGTATTCCCAGAAGCTGGAATAGTGTGTTGTACAAAGTAGGTGCTCAAAAATATTTGTTGAATGAATGTTGAGTTTATAAACATACTCTAAATATAAGAGAGCTCCAGGGTCCAGTCCTTAGAACTCTTTTCTTTACTTTTTAAAATTTATAATTGACACATAATAACTCTACATATTTATGGGGTACCGTGTGATGTTTCAATGCATGTATACATTGTATAATGATCCATCACTTTAAACATTTATCATTTCTTTGTGGTGATAGCATCCAAAATCTTATCTTTTAATTATCTTGAAATATACACTACATTATTATTAGCTAATAGTTACCCTACTGTGTAATAGAACATCAGAACTTATTCATGTCTAACTGTAACTTTTTGCCCATTGACCAGCCTGTCTCCATTCCAACCCTCCCTAGCGTCTAGTTACTTCACTTATTCCATCCATGTTGCTGAAAATGACAGGATTTCATTCTGTTTTATGGGTCAATAGTATTCCATTGTATAAGCCTTTTAAAACTGTGAACTAAAGCACATACAATAAAGTACATAAAATGTAAATGCCTTTGGTACAAAAATGTAACCATCACCCAGATCAAGAACATTACCAGCAACCTAGAAGACTCACTAGGTCCCTATTCAATCACATCCTGTTCTCCCCCTAGAGGTAACCACCATTCTGACATTTATCGTAATCATTTCTTTGTTTTTCTTTATAATTTTACCACAATGTACACATCCTTAAATAGTATACTTTAGTTCTGCCTGTTTTTGAAGCATATAAATGGAAACATATTGTATATATGCTTTTGTTTCTTGCATCTTTCACTTAGCATTATGGTTGTGAGATTCATTTGTGTTTATGTTGTGTGTAGCTATAGTTTGTTCATTCCAATTGTTGTATAGTATTCCATTATATGAATATACCCCAATCATGGACATTTAAGTTGTTTCTAATTTTTGGTGCCTACAAAGAGTCCTGCTATAAACCGTCTGATACATGTCTTTTGGTGAACATGTATGTCCCTTTCTGTGGGTCCCATATATAGGAATGGAATTGCTGGGAATGCATATGTTCAGCTTTGGTAGATACTGCCACACTGTTTTCTAGAGAAGCTGCACCACTTCTCATTTCCATCAGCAGTGTATGAGAGTTCCATTTGCTCCAAATCCTCACAACACTTGGCATTTACTTACTGTATTTTAACATTTTTGGACATCCTGGTGGTTGCATAGTAGTGTGCCACTGTGGTTTTATTTTGTATTTCCCTGATTAATGAGGCTGAACATCTTTTCTTATGAGTAGTAGCCATTTGTATTTTCTCTTCTGTGGAGCTGCTATTCAAATTTTTGTGCCAATTTTTCTATTGGATAATCTGCTTTTTCCTTGTTGATTCAAAGAAGTGTTCTATATAGTCTTGATATAGTTTCTTTGCCTTATGTATTACAAACTTTTTTTCCCCATTCTATGGCTAATCTTTTTATTCTCTTTCTGTTATCTTTTGCTGAGCATAAGTTCATAATTTTAATGTAGTAAAATTTATCAAAAAAATCCTTCACGGTTAGTGCTTTTTTTATCTCGATGTCAATTCTCTTTCTTTCCCTATCCTGAGGTTATTAAGATATTCTCTTATTTTTTCTTTTTAGGACATTTATTGTTTTATGTTTCCTTTTTAGACCTATAACCCAATGTGACTGGATTTTTGTGTATGGTATAAGTTAGGGACCCAATTTAATATTTTTTCCAAATGGATACCAAAATTTCCCGGCATCTTTTATTGAAAACTGCTCTTCTGTGACACATAAATCAAGGGTCTACATATGTGTAAGTCTAATTTTGGATTTTCTATTCTGTTTCATTTACCTGTTTGTTTACCCTTATACCAATTACCACATTGTTTTAATTAATATAGCTTTAAAATAAGTCTCAGTATGTTATACAGTAATTCTTTCCATCTCCTTCTTCTTCAAGAGGGTCTTGGCTATTTTTTGCCCTTTGCATTTTCATATTAATTTTAGAATCAGATAATTGAGTTATAAAAAAGAAAAGACGTGGGATTTTCATTCAAGTTGCACTGAATCTATAGATCAAGTTTGGGGATAATTTACATTTTCAAATATTACGTAATATTATGTTTTCCAATCTACATACATGATATATCTTGGCATTTATTTAAGTCCTCTTTAGAGTTTCTCGGTAAATTTCCATAGTTTTTCTATAGAGGTCTTGCAAAATTTTTGTTAGACTCATTTCTAGTCACTTGTGACTATTTTATTCCATTATGCATTTTGATTTTACTTCCTCATTGTGTCTCACCTGACCAATACACCCAAACCTTACTTTCCCCCCTGGGCAGGGCTCTCCTTGAGAGTGGCTATCTTGGCTTATAGCTGCTTTCAAGAGAGAGACCTCAAGACCAAATTAGAAAGAAATCATACCAATAAAAATCACAATGGGGCCATTTTCCAGGTTCTTAGCAGAATGGCAATCAATCTTCAACTCAGCAAACTTGCAAGCAATGTGAGCTGTGTGACAATCCAGCATGGTGCAGAGCCAGCACTGATTTGGTCTGGATGGTTCATGATAGTCACCTGAGCAGTGAAGCCAGTTACTTCCATTTGTGGGTCATTTTTCTGTTACCAGCCATGTTGCTACAATGAATATATTTGAAAGACATATTCTTGACATTGGAGCCTGCATTGTCCCCAGAAAGAGCTTCATTCCAAGCTTCATGGTACATTTCAATAGAATTTACTTCAGTTTAACATTGACTGGAGCAAAGGTGACCACCATGTTGGGTTTGAAAACACCAGTCTCCACTTGGCCCACAAAGACAGTACCAATAATACCACCAATTTTGTAGACATCCTTGAGGGGCAAAGACAAGAGTTTGTCAGTTGGAAAAGTTTGTGACAGAATGCAATCCAGGGCTTCAAGCAGTGTGGCTCCACTGGCATCACCATCTTTACAAGTGATTTTCCATCTCTTGAACCAAGGCATGTTAGCATTTGGCTCCAGAAGGGCATGCCTATGGGTCTGTACATTCTTGGAGATACCACCTTCAAATTCACCAGCACCAGGAGCAACAATCAGGACAGCACAGTCAGCTTGAGATGTGCCTGTAATCATGTTTTTGATAAAGCCTGTGTCCTGGGGCATCAATGATGGTCACATGATCCTTGCTGTTTCTTGAGATGTGCCTGTAATCATGTTTTTGATAAAGCCTGTGTCCTGGGGCATCAATGATGGTCACATGATCCTTGCTGTTTCTTGAGATGTGCCTGTAATCATGTTTTTGATAAAGCCTGTGTCCTGGGGCATCAATGATGGTCACATGATCCTTGCTGTTTCTTGAGATGTGCCTGTAATCATGTTTTTGATAAAGCCTGTGTCCTGGGGCATCAATGATGGTCACATGATCCTTGCTGTTTCTTGAGATGTGCCTGTAATCATGTTTTTGATAAAGCCTGTGTCCTGGGGCATCAATGATGGTCACATGATCCTTGCTGTTTCTTGAGATGTGCCTGTAATCATGTTTTTGATAAAGCCTGTGTCCTGGGGCATCAATGATGGTCACATGATCCTTGCTGTTTCTTGAGATGTGCCTGTAATCATGTTTTTGATAAAGCCTGTGTCCTGGGGCATCAATGATGGTCACATGATCCTTGCTGTTTCTTCAAATTTCTTCAGGGAGATATCAATGGCGATACCACATTCACCTTCAGCTTTCAGTTTTTCCAAGACCAAGGCAGGCATACTTGAACAAGCCCTTTCTTATCTCATCAGTCTCTTTCTCAAAGTTTTTGATGGTTTCTTTTGTCAACTGCATCACGTTTATAGATCAAATTGTCAGTAGTGGCGGACTTGCCCAAATCTACATGTTCAATTGTAGTGATGTTGACATTAATCTTTTCCTTTCCAAATTTTGGCTTAGATTTAGCAGTGGTTCTTATGACACTTGTGTTATGGCAACAAACCCATTGTAAAGAAAGCAATTCTACATATCGTAAAGCTCATAAAACATTTTATCATTCTTTATACAAATAATACTTATATCTATCTGCATATTTACCCTTTCTTTGCCCTTTATACCTTCTTGCTACTCACTTTCCATTTGGTGTCACTTTTATATTATCTTGAGTATAAAAGAATATTTTTAGTGAATTTATGCTAATAGTGAAGTTTCTCTGTTTCTGCTTGTCTGAAAATATCCTTATTTCACTTTCATTTTTGAATCATATTTTTGATGGGTATAGAATTCCAGGTTGGCAGTTATTTAATTGCAATGCTTCTGGATATTATTCCCCCCATGATATAGCTTTATCAATTTTGTTTAGCTTTTCAAAAAACCAAGTCTTAGTTTTGTTGATCTTTTCCATTATTTTTCTCGTCTCCATTTCATCTGTTTCTGGTCTGGTCTTTGTTATTTGCTTCCTTTTGCTAACTTTGGGCTTAGTGTGT